CTGTGGTGCTACAAGCCACAAGACGCTGCCTTTGAATTTTGGTAGGTCTGTAAGTTACGTAAACTGTGTCCTCCCATTTCCAATCATTCTGCACTCTCTGCCTGGGCCTAATTGTTCTTGTATCACTCAATGTTCTCTCTTCATTCCCTTAGTTTATCAGCCACACTACCTTTCGAATCAGAAGCAAAAACCTCTCTGCAGTCATCACATGTACACCCTGTTTTGTCAGTAGATTGTTTCGAAATGTTAAATTTTATCAAACGTCAGGCTTGAAGGCCATGTTCTTGTCTGAACATATGAAGGAATGAAGTAGACAGTAGAAGCTTCAAGGTTTCAAGTTTTAATGCGAAAATTAATTTAGTCTTACTGCAACAGATTGAAAATCAGTAACAATATTTCTATTTGCCTGCACTCTACAAGTGTGTACTTGCCAAAGCAAATACTTCATTGCTGTGGTAATGTACTTGGGCCCCCAGTAATTACTGAGGATTTGGGGACTCAGATGTGGAATGTCAAGTAACTGAACATTAAATTCATAAAAATCAAACACTGGAATGGCAGTTATTAAAATAAAATATTATCACTAAGTTAGGCATTGAACTCCATCATGTCAGATACACCATTAATGGGAATGAGCAATTTAACTTTCTAAACATCAGTGAAATTTTGTGTGCTACTGCAGGCTGGCCGGCATGCTCTATATAATAAAAATTTTCTGATTTTTGCAAATACTTTATGTTCACACACACAATTGAATCTACATTGGAAGAAAGTTTGCTTTACATGCACTTTCATGTCATACCAAATGGATATTGGTGTACAGTATTTATGTTGTGTTGTTGCAACATTTTTTGTGTCACATATGGGAGTTCTTGAAATAAATCCATAAAGTCTTACTTATTAAGAAAAATCACCCTGTCTTGCAGAAGTCTTCAGTTATGTTTCTTAAAAGTTAGTTTTATTCTAAAAGTTCCTTGCAGAATTCATTGTGAGTCAAATAGCTCAGTCAGTATAGTGACTGGTTACTGGCCAGAAGATTGGAGTTCAATCCCCAAGAGGGGCAGAGGATGTTCTTCTAGCCTCTGCGTACAGACTGACTCTAGGACCCACCCAGCCAGCCTCATCCCCAGTGGCTAATGGGGTTCTTTCCTGGGGATAAAGTGTGGCTGGAGTGTGACACTAACTACTTACCCCCTAAGTGCCAAATTGGCCTGTATGGGGATTGCTTTAATTTTACCTGCCAATTCATCATGACAAATTAATGAAAAATTTCTTTCATCCAAACAGTTTCATCACTTTATTCTCCTCCCATTGTCCCATACTTTATCAAACATATTTATTATTCCAAAAGAATAATGGTGAGGTGGTTAGCACACTTTGATTGTTACTATAGTTGGGATGAAACTGAATGTTTTGCCTACGTCACTGTCTTACAGGTATTATGTAATGCAAACACTTACTGACCCAGGAGGTGAGAAAGCAAGTTACAAAGTACTGCCACCTGGAAATGATATTTATGGAATGGGCAGTACGTGCTTCTTCATCTGCCGTCTCCTCCTACTCCTCTGATCCCTTTGCCTTTTAATTTTAATAGATGTGAAATGCAGAGATTTACCGCTACTACTGTACCAGGTTCAAATCTTGGCCCAATGGCTGACTATCCTGATTGAAATTTCTTATGGTTTTCCTCAGACCCAGTGAACAAATGCCAGGATAGTACCTTAAAATAGGCCACACCCACTTCCTTCCACATTCTTTCTAATTAATTATTCACTTTTCATCCTATTACTCAGTGCTGTATAATCTGATTGTTGGAAATATAATTTAATAAACCCTAAATAAATAATTTAATCTCTAATCTCAGTTGTTTCCATTCTTGGTGGGTATTTTATTTTGAGGTGAGCCGTCATATTAAACGGAGGTTGCATTCAAATTTTGGTTGGCAGCCACAGGGTGGGGCCCCAATCATTGCGTTCTCTGAATAAGTTTCATGATTCATTAAGGTAAGTAATGTCTACCCCTTGAAAGATGTTGCGTGATTTGTCCTGCCATTATTTTATGCATTGGCATACAGAATGTTATCTTGAGGCCTAAGGCCAGTAGTATTTAGTATCTCAATTTCGTCTTGTAAAAATTTGACAAAATCATACCACATTCTCTCTTTAGTGTCCCTTGTATGGGCATGATTGAGTTGGCATTTTTATTGTCACATTTCCACATATTATGCCAGGATAGTACCTTAAAATAGGCCACCTCAACGCACTTGTCGATTGCCTCCTCGTCGTTTACCACGGGATTCCCCGGGAGTCTGCTTCCGAGGCAAGCCTGGAATGCACACCAGTTCATTCGAGTGAAGTCGGGGCGGTCAGGTAGGTTCTGAAAGGACGAACGGCACGTGGTGTCGACGAAGACGGGCAGGTGATCTGAGCTGAGTACGGAGCTGTCAGATACACCGCGCTCTTTTGACCTATTGTATCGGTTGTCCGAGAAACTGGGCTGTTGGATGCGTCTCGCGGACTTAACGTAGAGAACCGCGGTGCTCTTCGAGACGTTGATAGCAATCCTCCAGGCCCTGAGCCAGAGCTCCAGCCTACTGAGGTAAGTCTGCAGATACCTGACGAGAAGCGTTGGGCTACGGGACGTGGCTACGAGAACCGTGTCGTCCGCGTACTGCGCTAACCCGACGTGGAGGGACGGTGTGGGTATGTCGTTGACATACAGACCGCATGGCACGACGTGTGGACGTGGTCGATTGGAAGGACATTTGGAATGTCCGGCAAGCGAGGTAGGAAGAGATTGTTTTCACCAGATAGAAAGGGAGGTTGAGGACGGTTAGCTTGTAGAGGAGGCCTTCGACCCAAACCGTGTCGAAGGCTTTGGACAAGTCCAGGAAAACCGCGCCGCTTAGCCGCTTCTCGTCAAACTTCCTGTCGACCCTTTCAACGAGGCGAGCCTGCAGTGTCGTGCCATGTTAGGGTCGGAACCCAAACTGCTCGTCACGTAGCAGTCCGCGTCCGTTGTCGCTGAACAATTCTGTCATTTAATGTATCATTGATTCGTCTTTTCTCATTTCAGTGTAAATTGCCGCTTGACAAATACTTCATGTAACAAGACTGGGTCGCTTGAATTTTCTATCACTGCGTATTTCTTCTGTGGCATGGAGCTACAGCTGGCGGCCGGCGTTCGAAACCCCACAAAACAGCTTTTTTATCTTTATTAACACCAGATGAGTGCCATTTTAAAACCCAGGGTTGGGGACACAAGAGGGAACAGTCTCGTCTAGGACGTCGCTATACGACATTGTGTCGTCGAGACATTCAGGGCTGCCCTTGAGGAAATGGATGTCAGGAAGAAGGCCATCTTTTGGTTTATCGCGCCGTGTAGCCTGGTACAAGTTTACCAACGCATCACAGGTCCTTGCTTCCTCCATCAACATC